TGAGTGAATGTCCTACACTCGGAAAGGTGTAAGATGTAGGTGGATGGGAAGATGTAAGGGAACAAGGAATATCATAAACAACAAATGCGAGGAATGAAAAGGTGGATGATGATGAAGTATAAATAAAATATTGCAGGGAATAGTCGTGGCATGATAGTGACGTGTGTTTCGATAGGAATTGGAAGGGGGGTGGGGTTAGGTTAGACCACTTTTGATTGTATATGTGCATTCCTTGTGATGCTGGATGAGGCTGTTGTAGAGGACATTTACGGTAGCAGGCTGGCCATTAGCTGATTCCAATAGTACAGGTATTTGTTTATATTAAAATTTATGCCTGTGGTTACGTATATATTTGTGGATACGGCTGTGCGTTTACATGACATTGAGTTTATGCCTGAAAGTGAATATATTTACTAAAGCCTCTTTGTATACTGGCCGTATAAACATTCCAAAATAATTATATCCGTACGTTTCCTTTTCAGCATTAATGATTAAGATGATAAATGAATACATGACAGAGCTACAAAAACACACAAAAATAGCCGTCCACTTTGAACTGGGATTACAGTAACTAGATATGATCTTATACCAACAGTTAGCGAGCAAAATATAACGTACGAATCTGTGAGACTGGTGGCCCAGGGAGCCAACGTGTTGCTCAGCCCGCCGCCACGCCACGATAAATAGCCAACACCTATTTAAGGCACGCCAGGGCTCAGCTGTTTATAATCTCACGCTTAGTCTTCACTTTAACAAAATGTCTGTTGTTTCTCCCGAGTTCGAATTCACCTCAAGTAGGATTTTATTCTTGCGTTCAAGTTCACTTAAAATGAGATACATTATATCTTTGTTTAATCATTAGAATGTATTATTGTCTACTCACCTTACTCAAGTGGCTCTTATAAAAATTTAAGTACTTTAAAGTATGTAAATCACTTACACGAGTAGTAATATTTTAGACGGAGAATCGTCAACAAGACTTCTGGGAAGGTCAACTGATTCTTTTGATTCTTCTTCTTCTTATTATTATTATTATTATTATTATTATTATTATTATTATTATTTTAGAGTTATTATTATTATTTACTTGAAATGTGTTTGTAGTAAACGAGGATAGATATTTTATTTTTTCTAAATCAAATCAGGAACTTGATATTTTTAATAATATTAGGGATTTGCACAACGATAGCAAGAATCTTGATAATTATAGCAGGAAGTGGAATGATAGCAGAAATCTGGATAGCGATAACAGGAATATGAATAATGATAACAGGAATATGAATAATGATATCAGGAATATGAATAATTACAGCAGGGATGTGTGTAATGGTAGCAGTTAATCTGAATAATTATAGCAGATATCTGACTGATAGAAAACAATTTGGATAATGATAACAGAAATCTGAAATACGAATAACGATTACAGGGATATGGGTCAGGTGTTTGGGGGGTGGGTTTTCCTTGAGACTGGGACAACAAACATACCTTCAGGATGACAACACAACCTCGTGGTGGCTGGCTACATCATGCTCGCTTGCCGCACCCCGAGTCACGACTAGGGGTGCCTCCTCCCTCTCCACCAACCAACACTCCTCCTCTGTGCATGGTTTCTCAGAGATTCATAAGTTGTATTTCCTCGTAACTTCGAGGTCGCATTTTAACCGATTCACTGAAGGGAGAGCGATATAGTTTAGCCAAACATAGCGTCGAAGTTCCTCCCGTGGGATTCTGTCCTAACTAGATGCTTAACTGGTGAGTCATGTAGAGTTACGGGGAAAAATTAACGTAACAATCTTGGAGAATCCCAGCCCTTGACTTGTACCCCACCCCCCCCTCTCCCACACACCACATTAACATAACCCGCTGAGTTTAGTGGGATTGTTACAGAATTTGCAAAGGTCTGGGATCTTTCTGTGTTTTATAAGATTGATACAGATTTTCCTGCGTTTAGGGATCTCCATGTTATTTACAAAGATATGGTTATATAATATTCAATGTTTAGGAATCTCTCTATGGTGTTTGTCTACGGAAATACAGAAGTTGCTGTGTTTAGAAACCTTTCTTCACATTGTTGAGACACTTAAAATGTCTCGGGATATTAAATTGAACTTTAAAAGAGAAAGACAGGCTGACTTTGAGACAGACAGAAAGACACAACGAAAGAGATAAACAGATTATTAGGATGTAAGTTGCCAGTCATAACGTAGTCAAACATCAACAGATTATATTATGTAAATATGTGGCTCATACCTTGACCCTGATATAAGGATATTTATATTAATGATCAGGGTGTTAAAATAGAGAAGATTAAATATAATCCATTGTATTCAGGTTATGGAGTAAAAAATACAGTAATGTTAAATATACTTCTGCGTAGTCAGGTTATATAGCAGATAATACTAGATTTACTCCATTGTGTTCAGGTTATGTACCGGAGCTGTAAAAATATAATTCGTGTATGTTCAGGAGAAACTAGTACAACACAAACAGGGATAGTAATGCAATTTAAGGTTTCATTTATGTAGTGTGCGAGAGAACTTGTAGTAAAAATCGTAAATATGTAGAACACCGTCCAAGCTGTTGTTTACATCGAGGCCGTTTTTGAGGCGGAAGTTATAATGGTGCGTATACGTACTACTGAAGAGCGGTGGAATTTGCATTACTTGGTGTGTATTTCGTGTTACTCAAGGCTAATACTGGGTGAGGAGGTAGTGTAATTGAAAGTGACAACGTAATGATGGTGACCAGTGTTGACACAGTTATGAGTCATGGTGTTGCTAAGCCCGTGACCTAGCCTAATGTGGCAGGAGGAACATTTACCTCTCAGGCACGACTTACTGTTATATGAACTCTCTAACTTGATTTTATGATCTCACTCTCAGTTGCTGTTCTTTGTATTGTCACTGCTACTGATGTTGTTGGTATGTGTGTGTGTGTGTACATGTCTATATGTATGAAGTTTCAATCATTGCCATACACACATACACGCGGCGCAGTAGTATCATGATTGAAGGAATTTCTTTGGTAATACAAGGCAACAAACTTTCTCTCTAGATGTTAAAATAAAATGTTAAAAAGGTCAACTAATTTAATCCAATGAAAATTGTATTAAAAAGTTTAAATATTAAAAGAAAAACTTTGTTAAAAAAATATAAGATATGGCAACAAATTAAAAATAAAGATTGTTAAAAATGAAAATTAATAAATACTCAATCAAGAAATTGATAAAAGTTTAAAGGCAAGAAATGTGTTTAAAGAACAAAATTTATGAAACAGTAAGACATTTAAAAACGTCTAAATATCAAAATTGATTCATATTACACCGGTATCACTAAAAATAGCAAAAAGTAAAAATTAAAAATATAAAATAAAGTTATGTATTTTAGATTCTACAAAAATAAGAATGTGTATTTACGTAATAGTTTAGTTAGTGTGTTTACATTGTTGTAATTCAGTACAAAGGTCTAACAGTATATAACTATTGATAGTTTATAGATCCTGAAAATGGTGTATATCCAAAAAAAATGTGTAGTGTTAGCGATGATGTATGGTTATGTAAACTCTTAATGGTTATATATGAACCTAAAGTTTAGAATTTATTTGCTGTTCTTTATTGAAGGTGTTTTGTTCCACTCAGGCGCGTCTCCATGCAACAAGTGTCTCACCTGCATCAAGTACAGGAGGGCTGTCATGTGCTTCCATGGGCTTATTTTTTTTTTTACTTTCATTCACCATAACCAGCAGTTTGCTCATATTTCTTCATAATTATCATATATTTTTTTAATCATAGAATAGTTAATAAAAATGTCAATAAGAATCAAGTCTTTTAATGTATTTTTGAGATCAGTTATATTGTCCAGTGGTTATAACAAAAATCATAAGTAATAACAAGTGTTTGTTGTTGAGATAATTAAAAGCTTGTGTACAATAGTCTTGGTGACAATTTATCAGTAATCATGAGTTGTTACATAACAATGAACATGTTTACTTTAGATGCAAATATAACAATTATTTGTTTTCTTCAGATATCGTGATGTCCATTGTTGAGGAGTGGAGGAGACACAGCCACACATGATGGTAAGGTTAAGCTAAAAGGCCTTTACAAAAACTAGTCTTTATTCTTAAAAAGAATTCTAAAATCCGTAACACAAATGGCATTATTAATGTCTAAATTCAATATCACTAAGGTCTAGATTTGAGTTTCATTATTATAACATTAACGATACTGATATACAAGGTGCCCCTCGGTATCCATAACATAAATCAACTTGAATACAACCTCAGGAGACAACTAAGGGGAGGAAGTCGAATAGCATCAGTGTCTTTCATTAATTTCAGGCCAATGAGGTAGACCACTATGTTAGGCTCGCCTGCTGACCCGCTGGGCCAGGAGGCCAGTCTAAGTACAATTATAACTTTTGATGAACAATTTGAATTCATAAAATAGAATAATTTTAAACATTAAAATAAAAAATTATGGGGGGGGGGAAGTGCGTGTTTCTTGGTGTGTTAACAGACAGACACCAAGGTGTTTAGACCGCTAGTCATGTAAAAATAATAAGAGCCAAAATGGCCACACAATCTGGTCGACAGACAGACAGACAGAGGCAGCTGAACCGTTACACCGTGATCACTCACTGTCACAACGCCACCATAACACCAAATAGCATATTATCACTTGCATAAGACTAACCCTGTTAGGTTTTGTGCATAAGTTTTGACACACGCTGAGGTATACCGAGTATTCTGAGGTATTGTTATGTGTAGCCGTTTAGCTGGTAGGTGCTGCTGCTGTTGACGCCCGGGTATAGTGGCGTTGCACCACAACCATCACTTGTGGCGCTCCACCACCACCATCACTTCTCACCGTCACTTCCCACCACCAGGCCTCTTCACGCCACCCCCACACGCTTCAATCTCTGTGGGCAGGGCGGTGGTGGGGGTCACACCTGACCCCGGCGGACAAGGTGAGGCGGGACCACCGCCAGGTCAGAGGGGGGGGAGGTCGCGGGGAATGGGTGGAAGGGAGGGAGAGGCTGCAGAAAACGGGACACAGGTAAAGGTGATGTGAGAGATGAGAGTGGCGAGACAAGTGGAGCAAGCAGATGGAGGGGAGGGAGACACGTGGGGTGAGGGAGGTCAAGCAGCAGGTGGCAGGAGAGGGGTAGGAGGTGAGGGGTCACCCGGGCGGCGGCCACAACAATACTGATACAGGTATCATCACTTCCCTGCACACTGGACCACGAGCCTCTGAGCGGGTGTGTTTCATAGTAAGATGAGGACATGATGCGAGGTAACGGACGCCTCAGGCACGGAACGCGAGGCACGGGGCCGGGCCGGGGCGACCCTAACCACCCGGGTGGGCGGCGGGGTCAGTATGGCACAGGGGCGGCCGCCCGCGGCATGGAATGTTGGCGCGGTATCACAGGGCGGCGGAAGCCGCGTGAGGTAGATGCGGGGCGTGGCGGCCACAGGAACTCAGCACCGGCGGAAGACGGGCGCGGGCGTGTGCGGCCAGGTCACCCACAGGGGTACACGCCGCCCACTCCGGGGCCACAGTTTGGCCATCATCAGTAAACTGGAGGAGCCACCACGTGTGGAGGGTGGCCCGGATGGCCAGGTGGGCCATGGCCCGGGTGTGCCATGGCTCCGTGCGGGACACCTGGGCGGTGGCCCGGGTGGTGGCCCGGGAAACCTGGGGGACCGTGGTTCATAGGCGGCCCAGGGGGGTGGGAAGGGGGGCCGGAGGCAGCGGCGGCCATTGCTTTCTTACGGTGTGTCTGGAAGTGCTTGAGCATGTGGTCCTTACGGATAAACCCTTTCCCGCACTGCTCACACGTGAAGGGTTTTTCGCCCGTGTGGAGGCACATGTGGCGGCGCAGGTCTGTCTTATGGTTGAACTGTTTGGGGCAGACCTCACACTTATAGGGCTTTTCCCCCGCGTGCTTGCTCTGGTGGTCACTGAACGTAAGCTCATCGGGGAAACGTTTACCGCAAGTGCCACATTTGAAGGGCTTCTCGCCTTCGTGGTAGGTGGTACGGTGCTGCGTCAAGTAACACATGCGGTTGAACATCTTACCACAGTCCTGACACCTGAAGGAGCCTTCGGTGGTGATGCTGCTGGTGGTGCCGCCGGACTCGCTAGAATCCATGGAGGCCTCCGAGCCTGTGTCACCGCCCGCGGGCTCTGGGGAGCGGGACAGGACGCTCGCTCCACGATCATTGTCAAGTTTGAAACTACTGAAGCCATCCAGGCTTTGCCCGGGGAAATCATTCATTGAATGAAACCCCGGGCCCTGGTGGCCCCCCTGCGTCTGATAACCACCAAAATTGTTGTTCCCGCTGCCGGGGTAAAAAGGGGGTCCACCTCCCATGGAAGCTGGAGGCTGGCTACCAAACCCCGTCGGGTTGGTACTGAAGTGGCCATGGTATAGCGTGGGTGCCGTTGGAGGCTGCTCACCCCCTAAAAAGTGAGGTGCCTGGCTGAACTGTGGTGCTGCATGGAGCCCTTGTGAGGGCCCTGGCACCCCTGGGGGCTGGTACCCTGACAAGGATGTGGGTGGCGGGTTGTATGCTGGCGGAGGCTGCTGCATGGGCGGTGGTGGCGGTGTCTCCAGGGCGTCTGTGGCAGACAGGTTGCTTTCCTCGTCCTGGCTGGAGAGGTTGGAAGCCTCGCCGATGCTCTTGGCGCCTGGGGAGAGTATGGGCGGCCTGGTGGGGTCCGGCGTTGAGCGAGAGGCGCTGTTACCGTTCAACTTCGTCATGTTTTTGTGTAGCGTTGTGTTGTAGTGCCGCTTGAGGTGGCCGTGACTCGTGAACCACTTATTGCAGTCTTCACACTTGAAGCTCTTCGGCCTTTTGACGTTAGAGGCGAACTCTGAAGGTGGCGCAGTCTCTCGCGGCGATGGCGGAGGAGCCCCAAACATACTGGTGGGGCTGCTCATGGCCTGCGGGGGGTTAGTCATCCCCTGTGGGTGGTAGCCGCCCATGCTGCCCCCACCTCCCGAGAGGTAGGAGCTGCCACCACCCAAACCTGGGATGTGTTGGGGCGGGGCTGGAGGTCCCGGGAAGCCTGGCTGCTGCAGTGGGAGACCACCCATGGTCAGGCCGCTCGTGGAAGGAAACTGTTCGTGGGGTCGCCACATGGGCGGCAACGACCCCGCCGGCTGTGGTTGTTGTTGTGGAACGCCACTACTGCCTAACACCTTCTGCGAATCCAAGTCGAGGATCTCAGGTGTGTCGGCTGACGGCATCTCCTCCTTGATGTCGTTGTGAGGGTTGCCTGGCGAGGGCGTGGGCGCCGGAGATCGACCCATGTACGGGTGAAACCTCGGGGCTGTGTTGGTCCCACGCCCGTAGAACCCATCATCGAAGTTGCCATTGAGGAAGCCTCCTATCTGGTACCCACCGAACTGCTGGGGTTGTTGAGGCTGGTGATGGTGCTGCTGTCCAAAGTCCGGGTAGAAGCCTCCAGGCGACTGCTGAGGAAAGCCTACTGAGAGTGCGTGTCCTGAGGGAGGGCCCTGAGGCACCACTCCCCCCTGTGGAGACTGAAGACCTGGAGACATCTTGTATTCATATTGCATTGGTGATGGCACGGTGAAGGAGCTCGAACTGACTCCTGCGTTAACACTCTGCACTGAACTACTCACTAAACCCCCCTCACTGCTGCTCACTCCCAAGGGCGTCAAATCACCTTGCACAGGTGAGGGTGCTAGCGCACCACCCTCACGCCCACGTTCATCACTGCCCATCCACATGTTCATCAAATTCTCCTTATGATACTGAAGATGCACTTCGAGGGACCGCGCGCTCTCGAAGTACAAGCCGCAGTCCTTGCAATGGTGCGACCCGCTCGCCATGGCTAGCTACGCCCCACGGGGACCCGGCCTCGTACTGCTCTTGGCCGGATCATCACTAAGGACCTGGCGACTGCACGTGTCTAAGAGAGGGTGAAGACCAACTGGAGAACCAAGCGACACACGTGCGCTCTCCGCGGGCGCTGCCTCCGTTTTGGCGCGCTCACGGCCCAGCACTGAGCACCACCGTTTTCTGTGAGGCGGCCTAAGCTGGCGGCCCGCCTCTCCAAGGACACCTGACCTGCACGGGGAGAAACACGCCGTCACTATTTACGTCAACATCACTACTTTAATAAAAACACATCCCTGCCATGCTTGTCCTACTAACTTAGTCTAAACTAAGTACTATTTACCATTATTTGTATACCTGCACTGTCCTAGTACCTGCTGAACCAATGTGAACTTGTAATTAACATTTTACTGAATAAAAATATATCTCTAGCTACAAAGATCACTCCCGACACATCATATTTTACAAACAGCCTCACATTAAGTACTTACCACACGTGTTAGTGACTGATGGAACGTCACTATACACTACTGAACAATACAAAAAGTATACAAAATATATTAAACTTACACCTCACGTCCAGCACGTTATAATGGCCCATATAAGTACGTTATAATATATGGGGTCATAATAACAGGATACTTACATAATTGCGGGCTTAAAGGCTAGAATCAGAATCTGCAGTAATTAGAGTTTTGAAGTGTTTGTGTCAGTCAAGGTTAGCCCAGGTTTTTTTACAGTGGTGCCCTCGGGGGTGATGGGAAGGCTGGGAATGGCAAGCCTCCTTCCTATCTCTCAAAACTGACATATTTAATCAACGTAACTATACACACTACACTGATCTGTGGTGCCTCGCTGATACACAGTGTTTAACCTTGCTGACTCCGTATACCAGTGAGTGAGTCAGGACCCACCCTACTGATATCAATAAATCTTTACCGTAACAAGGAAAGAGGGATATATCACAAGCATCGCCAAACTGGTTTACATCGTAAAACACTGATGGATGGTTAAAACCTCAGCGATCAATGACCGCCAGCAGCTGAATTAAAACTAGTTTTTCCCCGACATGGTAATTACCTGCGAGGAAGTGGGTTATGGGCATGATTCGTGAAGGGGCATTATAATGGCATCGGCTGAGTTGATTCCTTGGTCACTGTAAGAAGGTTCCGAATTCAGTCACGTGGTTTGGACGAGAGCAGATGCCACACGTCGCCAGCTCTAGCATAGTAACAACGCCCACGTTTTTCCTCCTGGCGTGTGTCTGTGAAGAGTTTGTGTGTGAAGTAAACTTACACCACATTGTCTGTTTATTTACCCGCTTGCAGCTTTTTGTGACGCCGGAATGAAAGTTACAATCAGAGGAAATACAGACATCGGCAACTCGTCAGTGAGAGCCATCCTAAAAAATGGCTTCAGTAGACATTGGTGTCTCAAGACGCTGGAGGAGATCAATATGCTTACACACCGCAAATTTATCAAATGATATCAATGCCAAATACGCGACTACGTTTCCCCTCTGGATATGGGAGTTATTTCCGCATTTTTCCCAGTGCAGAGCCGTCTGAAACATGGGACGTTAAGGTGAAATATGGCAACATCGCCCTGTTATTGGCAGAAGGTGCCTCGAGATGCATCGATCACTCCATATGACCCCTCGAGCCTCCGGACACAAGAGCGAAAATGGGGTGGCGGGCGGCCGAGAAAATAAATAACAACCTATACCCCACATTTTGTAACTCCGGGCTCGTCTTAAAATGTATTTATTAGCTGGACATCTAAGACCGACAAAGATGGAATTTTGTGTAGTAACTCAGCCGGGCATAATTTATAATGGACATCTCTCTAATCACCGGCATTCCTACGTCCCGGGGTGCCATTTAACACCTATATATGGATTATTTCATACATTTTTTTGTTCACTGGGATATGGGAGAAGTGTAGGTTGGCCTCCCGGACGAGAAACTGTTGTAGTCGGCCGCTGCTCTTCGATTGTAATTAATTTTAAAGAAAACGGCGGGAAAATAAGAGAAAGAGGTCAAGATTTTTCAAGAGACGGTTAGGCCATTATGCTCCCGGACAAACGTACATTTTCTCGGAACAATTTATTGAGATTGACTCGTCTTCCCTTAACCGAGACGACCAATTATAAACTTCATGTTGGTAATTCAACCTTAAAAGAGGTGTTTTTTCCCAGCTTCTACTAAATGTTTCCCTGCACGTCTCACAACACTGAACTACCGTACAGTTAGGTAAGGCTCGCTGACGAAACATTAAATCCAAACCACGACTTTTGGGGAAAAATAAACAAGACTCACCAAATATCTGGTGCATGTTTCCGTAAATGGTGTGTGTGTGTGTGTGTGTGTGTGTGTGTGTAGGCCTAGCGAGGCTGGTGTGTGTGTGTGTACGTCACAGGGTGGTGGTGGTGGGCGCGTCATAAAGCGAGGGCGGGAAGTAGAGATAGCCCATCTCCCTAGCACAAGTCCACCACCACCAGCCATTTTTATAGCTTTCCAACAATTGGTTGAAAACAATATCTGCCATTCGACTCACGCCATAAACTAGGTTGACAACTGTGTGCGATTTTTAGGGATTGAGTGAAAGGGGCCGTGAGAGCGTCGCCATACAACCCGGTCATTTACGTCTGAAGGGGGAGAGAGAGAGAGGGCGGTCCTCTCGAATTACCGCTATACAATTCGGGATACGCAAAGTTGCTACGTGGATGGTCCGGGTTATTATTGGGGCGGCGTATCCGTGAACAACAGCTACGGGAACCACACTTGAGCCCCACAATGAAATAACCTTAACTGTTTACTTTGCCCCAAAATTAGAAAAAAAATGAGAATCAGATTGATTTAGTTACCCCATAAACTTTTGTGGGGGAAAAAGTATAGTGTGAAACTGGGAGAACAGACAGAACTCTGACCACAATCAAATTACCATCACAAAAAAAACGCAATCCATCACCTTGGCAAGACAGACGGCCATTAAACACCACCTGAAGCCAGCCAACACCTTCCATTTCGCGACCCCCGGCCAGCAGGGAGGGAAAAAAAAACTCATCGAGAGAGTGGGAAGAAGGGATCATTCTCAGCCCTTACCATGCATGCTCCGCTCCGGCCCTCCCTCCCTCCCTCCCTCCCTCCTCCCGCCGCCCAAGCTGACCTACTACCCTCACCTCCCACGCTGACCTAGGTTGACCCCTCAAGCTGACTCTGTATGTCATATATCACTTCCTCCACCTTGCCTGACTAGCTGACCTCTACCTCACCTGAAGATAAGACACCCCTAGGTTATTTCACCTCAAGATTAACCACCCTTACGCAACCTGGGGGTGTGTGAATCTCCAGGGGTAATAAGCTGGGGGTGATATCTTCAGGTGATCCAATATTTGGTTTTCTTTATTGTTCACCTGACAAGAGGAACGAGGCTGTACCTATCGTGAATTCTACAAAAAAAAATATTACACACACACCCACCTACCTACCTTTGACCCCGTGGCATGGCATTTTAACCACTTCCTAATATCCACTGAACCAAATTCTTGTTACTCTCTCATCTACAGCATCTGAAGTTATCGTTACGTCATTAAGATAGATAGTCCTATTCCTTCATACTGTCTTGAACGTTTGTCGATACAGTATTCTTGAAAGTAGGTTTTGCTATTATTATTAGTTGTAGTATTTCTATAATTATTACCGGTATGAATTTATATTTGTATTTTTACCATTACAATGTTATTAAATACCACAAGTTTATCATATAGTATAACCCAATATAATATAATCTACCCAATTTTATACCCATCCCGTCATACTGCTATACTATACCCAAACACACCCACACTACTATCATACTTCCATAACACACCCACACTACTATCATACTTCCATAACACACCCACAATACTATCATACTTCCATAACACACCCACACTACTATCATACCTCCATAACACACCCACACTACTATCATACTTCCATAACACACCCACACTACTATCATACTTCCATAACATACCCACACTACTATCATACTTCCATAACACACCCACACTACTATCATACTTCCATAACACACCCACACTACTATCATACTTCCATAACATACCCACACTACTCATGGATTGTATACAAACAGACTTCCGGCAACATTTTTTTTTTTTACAGCGCATCAACGTAAACCTATAATTTGGTTGAGAGAAAATATATAACACCTGCGAGTTATATTAGTGATAAGGACAGTATTAGGTTGGATGGATATATGAGCAATAGGGGTTGGGTGTAAATGGAACTGCCCAGTATGGACCAATAAGCCCACTGAAGCTTCCTCCATTCTTATGTCCTTATTAAGTAAAATAACATGGAGGATTTACATATTTGACTCTCAACTCAAAATACCGACTAGTGAATATATCTTATGACAGGATGGATAGATAGATAGATAATTATTTAGTACAATCTTCAGACAGGTTTACATTGATTCAGGAGAGAGAGAGAAAATATGTATTCATGTAAAGAAACAAACACACGGATGATATAGTGAGGGAGGTGGGTGGTGGTGCGTGGCCGACCATCCCAGCGTTGCTAGCCTCCTCCCCCCCCCCTACCTCACCCTCCCCTACATCTACCACCTCCACCACCATCAAAGCCGCCAGGTGAGGGAAGTAACTAGACGCGCGCGCACACACATACACACACACACTAGGGGAGGGAGGGGGGGGGGGAAGATATTGGGAGTAACTTTAAAAAAAAATTCAACTCTCGTATATCATTTTTTTTACCCCAAGGTGCTTGATTTTTCTCCTATCATCTTAAGGGGTTATGTCAGGCCGTACATAGGTGAGTAAGGTGCTGTTTGGGTATAAAGATGGTGGTGTTTATGGCATGTCTATGGTGCCCTCCCCAACACTTTAAACATCATGTCAACATTAAAACCATCGACATGACCCTGTAGTTGATCTTATGAGGTGAGAAGTCATAGTCACAGTGTTTATTCTCTCTCTTTCATTAGGGTAACATGACGTAGGTTAGGTGTTAAAGGAGTGGTTTAACTTCTTAGTCACGTTGGTGTAGTGTGGTAGATGTTAGTTAAGCGAGTGTGTGTATTTGACCAGCTGCCGACGTCCTGTTTGCGAAATTAACCGTTCTAGAAAAAAATTATGCAATGGGTGTGCGTGCGTGCGTGTGTGTGTGTGTGTGTGTGTGTGTGTTGGGGAGACTGTGTATGTGTGAGGGGAGCTATGTGTCAGGGGGAGGAAGAGTGTATGTATGTGTGGATAGCCTGTATGAGTGGGGGAATAAACGTGTGTGTGTGTGTGTGTGTGTGGAAAATGTGTACACGTGTGGAAAATGTATACACGTGTGAAGGCAGTAGAAGCACGGAAAGTAAATAGCTAGTCAGCATACCCCAGCCCCTTGTTGTCAGTGTTGGACCACACATACACAACCTTCAACGTCCGTGATTTCTCATACTTGTCAGGATACAACAACCAACTTATCAACACACACACACACACACACTAGTCTTCTCTCTCTACCAGCAGCAGCAGCACCTTCCCTTACCAGCGTACAGTGTGCGTGATTTAATTAAGGAACGTGTGGAGTGTTAATACTGTGGCAATGGTCAATCATGTTAAACAGGAAGTAAGTAAATACCGCCGCTGATTGGATGCGTTGGTCCCTGCTACACCACGGGCTAGTTCAGGGTCGCCACCACCACCATCACCTCCATCAAAACCTCACGTGTTTTGTTTTTATTACGATGGACTAAGTTAATTTCACACTATAACTTTATATTAGACCTTTACTCTAAATGCCCAGTTATCGGAGGTGTTGGTTAAAGCGTCCCTAAAAGACTTACTCATAGGATGTTGGGAATTTTGCGTTGCACAATATTTTTCCGGGTGGTCGAGGAAGTTGGTGAGGCTGCCATACACGCTGGCCAACGTTACGCTTGACATTTTCACGGGGTAATAAAAGTAAGCAACATTAGTTCCGTTTGTTGACTGCGAACACTGCGGTTGAGCGCCTCCAACAGTCGCCGGACGAACCTCTTCCAACATGACGCAAACGTTGGAAATAATCTTGTGTCGGTGGTCAAGGAACATCAGACACTAGACGTGTGCTACACTTTAAACGTTTATTGTTGGAGAGCAACAAGTAGTGATCACCTCGACGTATACGTTGTCACACACACACACGGTAAATATATCCGACCAACATGTTCTCACCCGCAGACAGAGTCCACACAGTAATCGTCAATAAACACCAAATATTGTGGGATCATAAAGTGAAGACACTGAGGAATAACACAAGAGGCACACTATCTCTCCTACCTGCACGCAGAAGAAGGAGGTCCTGCGTATAAGTCCCAAGTGTTAAGTGTTGTGCTCGAGCCACGGGATAAACCAACCACTCGGGAGCGTCCCACCACCACCACTGCGTCTCTCAGTTTCAACTTTGAACTGGTCAGCGCTAAAGAGGAAGGAGGGAGGGAGGGCTGCTCCTGGAGAATGGGGGAGGGGCGGTGGTAGGCTGGGGACTTGGGAAGGGAGGGAGGGAGGGGGCTGAGAGAGAGAGAGGAGAGGAGAGAGAGAGAGAGAGAGATGGGTGAGGTGCCAGGAAGGGTATTATTTCTCGGCTCTTCCGGTGGACCTCTGTCGTGTATTACCACCGACGGTTCTTGGACCTCCATCAACACACGCTGGCCAACTTCACCCTGAACCTAAAAACACCTCCTGCATGACCTAGCGCAAGCTGGTAGAGAGAGACATATATTTCCTTCAAAACAATCAACATGTCTTACTCCTCACGACACTCTGCTGCACCTGGCAACCCTCTCGGTACCCATCAATTCGCGAACGATTCTGATTCTCTGACCATAGATGAACGCCGGACAAACACACACACACAGACACACACACTACACACACACAGCAAGTCTTCCACCATTACTAATATTCCCTTGTAGTGTATTTCAACGTAGGGAATTGGCACAAGGTGTGGGGTGTTTTAGCTAAGAGTGGATGAGGGAGTGGTGGAGATATCGACCGACCGTTTGCATCAGAGCGGCACCACGAGGCCTCCACTACCACCCAGGTAGTGAAACAGGACGAAACGAGTGAAATGACGGCGGCGAGGAGGAGGAGAGGCCGAGAGAGGGAGAAGAAGAAGACGAATGAATGCAAGGCGGATGATGAAAGGGAAGAGAAGAGAGAAGAAGAAGACAAATAAATGCAAGGCGGATGATAAAAAGGAGGAGGAGAAGAGAGAAGAAGACAACGAATGATGAAAAGGAGGAGATGATAGGAGAGAAGAACACGAATGAATGCAAGGCGGATGATGAAAAAGGAGGAAGATGAGGAGGTGACTAAGTAAAATAAGAGAAGGAAGCAATGGAATGAGGAGGAGGAAGAGGAAGCAGTGAAATGGAGAACAGCAAGAGACAAATATAAAAGGAGGAGAGGAGAGGAGAGGAAAGAGGAGACTAAGAAAATAAAGAAGAAAAGGAGGAGGCAACGTGAAAATAATGATGATTGTATGGCATATATAAAAAAAGATACGAGGGAGGGATAAATAAAAGAGACAAAGACATGAAAATAGAAAAATAAACAAGAGAATAAAGAGAGAGAGAGATGGGCAAGATAGCGTTAAAAGTTGGGTAGAGACTGTAAAAAATAAAGGAGAGAAAGAGAGAGAAATTAAGAATAAAAGACGGGGAAAAAGATATGAGAGAGAAAGAAATCTTAAAAATGAGAGAGAGAGAGAGAATAAGATTGTGAGAAAGAAAATAGAGAGAAACAAAATCATAAGATAGATATACGAGATACTAAATAGATAGAATAAGTAGAATAGACAAATACAATAAATAGGTAGATAAAGATAATAGGAGAGGAACCACGTGGGGCTACATTACGAAAGACTATAAATAAGAGAAACTGTACATGACCAAACAGGAAGAAAGGAAATAACAAGACAACGGGAGACAGTGTTGAGAAACTTCCCGCTAGAGGGAGAGGAAGATGGAGGGAGAGGTGGTGGGGGAGGAATTGATATGGATGGATGGATAGATAGAGGGGGTAAAGAGAGGGTTTGAGGAAGAGAGGAAGAGAGAGAGGGACAGAGAGAGAGAGAGGGAAGGAAAGAGTGAAGAAAGGGAATTGAGGTGGAGAGAGAAAGGAGGTTAACCGATAGAGATAGAGAAAGCTGGGTGAAGGGAAGAGACAGAGAGAGAAAAAGAATGTTTGTGTGTTTCTTCTTTACGTAACTTAGAAGAAGAAGGAGGAGAAGAAACGAGAATCGATAAAATCCCTAATTGGAAAAAGAGGAGGAACCACACACACACACACACACACACACACACACACACACACAAATATATACAGTACTAAGGCAGACACAAACAAACAGAAAAACAAAATAAAAACAAACACATGCTCTCACACACAACGGCAGACACACAAACAGATAGACCGGCAGTCAGACACACAGACAGTCAGACACAGACAGTTATAACGACACACAGACAGACACAGACGGGGACGAAATAATTGATGTGGTTCAGAAAACTTGGGAGGCGAGATAAAGTCGTCTGAGAATTTATTCATAAGAAACGAACGACTTCAGAGAATGTTGCATATATTATATAATACTAATGCAGCCGTACTCCCCACCCACCAGTACACCTACCCGGTACTCTGACCCACCAGTACACCTACCCGGTACTCTGACCCACCAGTACACCTACCCGGTACTCTGACCCACCAGTACACCTACCCGGTACTCTGGCCCACCAGTACACCTACCCGGTACTCTGGCCCACCAGTACACCTACACCTACTAGTACTGTACACCTACACCTACTAGTACACCTACACCTACTAGTACACCTACACCTACTAGTACACCTACACCTACTAGTACACCTACACATTGAAATACATACAGACATGTGGTGACTGAGTTTCAGGATTTATGAGTCACGTTGCTTCGTTTACCAGCTGCAAGTACAACCACGTCTTGTCCTGCGTAATGTAGAACAGGAATTACGCCTCCACTCCTATGTCCTGCGTAATGTAGAACAGGAATTACGTCTCTACTCCTATGTCCTGCGTAATGTAGAACAGGAATTACGTCTCTACTCCTATGTCCTGCGTAATGTAGAACAGGAATTACGCCTCTACTCCCATGTCCTGTGTAATGTAGAACAGGAATTACGCCTCTACTCCCATGTCCTGCGTAATGTAGAACAGGAATTACGCCTCTACTCCCATGTCCTGCGTAATGTAGAACAGGAATTACGCCTCTACTCATGTCTGCGTAATGTAGTTACAGCCATAGTGTTATCTAACAGGAACTTACTGTTATACTATGTGGTTACGCCTCTACTCCTGTCCTGCGTAATGTAGAACAGGAATTACGCCTCTACTCCTGTCCTGCGTAAAGTGTAGTCAGTCATCAGTGTTATAAACCGACGGTGCTGTTATATATTGGTCTTACACCGCTCACCACCATACCGAGTCCACTTGGTAAGGTGAAAATAAATAAGAATATTATGTATGTGTGTGTATGTGTATGTGTGTGTGTGTGTGTGTGTGTGTACTGGTATACTCTCTCTCTCTCTCTCTCTCTCTCTCTCTCTCTCTCTCTCTCTCTATAATCTTCAGGGAAAAAAATACGAGAACAGGTGAGAAGAATTAAGTACAGAGTGTATTAAAGATAATTATTGTACATGGTTGCCAAAAAAGTATATAAAAATAATAAAAGACTAAAAACACACATCTTCCTTTTTTTCCTTTTTTATTTCTTATTTTTTTTATTTTTTTTTTCAATGTTTTCCTCTGATTTGACTTCTTTTTTTTTCCTTTTTTCCGCTGTCGTCAAATCTTGTAACTTTTATTTAAGGAAAACTTCTCTTTTTTTTTTTTTTTTTTTGCATAATTGATATAAATTTCCGATCACACTCACCAACGCCACACAAGCTTTCCTGAAACCCGACCCGACCCTACCGGACCTGACGAACGCTGTAGTTACCCTTGGCATTTTGCGTTTTCCAAGGACTTCCCACCCCCCACATACAACTTTACAAGAAACTGAAGAAAAATTATTAGTATTCTATTATTTTGTTGTCTCTAGTGTATACATCTAACTAAAAGTATATTCTTAATAGTATAATCTCATTTTGTTAGAGCACTGCAGATATACATGGAAACATCAACAGGTGTTATGTGTCAGGCGTTTGTCGACTCAGGAAGTTTAACCTCTTTGAGTAAGAAGTCATCACCGAGTTCATTCAATTACCCTATTGACTAAGACTTTTTTTTTTAATTCCTTGGGTACGATTGCTAACCCCATAAGTCATAATATTCAAGAAATTAAGTCATGTGGTTAAATTATCATACATATGGGGTTAAGGTATCGTACAGATGGGGTTAAGTTATCGTACTTAAGAGGTTAAGTTATTATACTTAAAGGGCTAAGTTGTTGTATTCAAGGTTTAATATCGTCGCACTCAAGGTTTATATCGTCGTACTCAAGGGGTTAAGCTGTTAACATGTAGAATAAGACGATGACTCCGTTTATCTGGGACCCAATGAGCGATGCGGATGTTTAGACATTAACATTTTACTGGGATCACCTGAAGATATAACAAAGGTGCTCAAACTATCCAACCAGGAGCGAACTCGTAGAAATGGTTTTCAATTAGACAAATTTAGATTAAGGCGCGAGATAGGTAAACGTTGGTTTGAAAATAGAGTAGTGGATGAGTGGAACAAGTTACCAAACAACATCATTAACTCGAACACGCTGGATAGCTTCAAACATAGGTTGGATGGATATATGAGCGATAGGGGTTGGGTGTAAACGGGACTGCCCAGTATGGGCTGCAGTTTCCTCCATTCTTATGTACCCAGCTTATTTCACCTTTAGATTAACCAACCTAACCTAGCCTCATCCCCCAAATAGTGTTAGGGTGGTTAATCTTTGAGGTGAAGTAAGCTTGGGAGGGGAATCTTCAGGTGATCCATTGTTTGTGTAGTATACCTGCACTGTCTATATATACAGTACATGCGTAAGCAATGTCAGCTTGAATGACAATTTTACTGAATAATATATCGGATCACGTGAATTTTAGGCACCCCAGCTTATTTCACCATAATATTAATCACCCTAACGTTAACCTAACCAAACCAAACGTGACCCCTCTGATAGCATTAGGTTGTTTAATCATGTGAAATAAGGTAGGGCGCCTAATCTTCACGTGATTCAAAATGTTCATCTATCTATCTATCTATCTATCTAGCTATCTATCTATCTAGCTATCTATTTACTTGTAATCTCCATATTCGTGTTCCTTAGCTCCGGAGCAACTACCTACTTGTTCAACAGGTCATGGAGTGTAGAAAGTAAAAAAAAAAAAACTGGAGTAGCTACAACCTGAAGCCTC